ACACCACCATGCCCAGCTTATTTTTTTACTTTTTTGTAGAGATGAGGTCTCACTATGTTGCCCAGGCTGGTTTTGAACTCCTGGACTCAAACTGTCCTCCCATCTCAGCCTCCCAAAGTGCTGGGATTATAGGCGTGAGCCACTGCGCCTGGCCTGACATGCTTTTCTCTTTTTTCTTTTTTGGTGGAGGGGAGTTGTCTTAAGGTCTTACAGGGACACCTAAGACATCTTCATATATGCTCAACTGGTTTAAAAAAAAAAAAGCTTTCATGCAACACAGATGAGTTCTGTGCCTTTCAGGATCACATATCTCAAATGGTCAGGGTCATACAATTGATACTATTCACGTAGACTTGATCGCAAAAAGGCATTTACTGCCTATAATTATTATAATTAGGCAATGAAGACTGACTAGAGTAACTAACCATGCTTCTCAAAGAGTGGGTCAAGGGTCTCAGAATGGGGACAAAGAGTAGGGTGGGGAATGCTTATTAAAAATGCAGAGTACTGGGTTACAACCTAGATATTCATATCATAATCTCTGGGGATTAGGCCCAGACATCTTCATTTTTAAGCCTACAATCCAAGTGATTCTTCTGCACCCTAACAAGTGAGGAGAACTAGTAGATAGTTTAATAATAACATTTCAATTTTCTCATTTAAAAAAACCAAAAAAACATTTTTAGACTAAATTCAGTCTAAGAGCATTATTTGTTGTCATTTAGATAAACCATACTTTCATAGATTCAATATAACACAACAGTCAACATGTATAATTTTCACACAGCTCAATGATTTTGTTACTACACTTTTGTCATGTTTAAAGACCATGATGCTCTCAGAATGTCTATTTAGAATCAATTATATCTATGTTTTTGCAGGTATCTAGGAGGCAATTACATTGCTGTCATAGAAGGTTTAGAAGGGTTAGAAGAACTAAGAGAGCTTCATGTTGAGAGTCAGAGGCTTCCCCTTGGAGAAAAGCTTCTGTTTGATCCAAGAACTCTTCATTCTCTGGCAGTAAGTTCACATGTGAATATTTTGACAAGGAATATAGTGATTAACAAGTTATAATGCAACAGAAATGTGGAGAAGGTATATTTGGACATTGTATATACTCTGCATGTGTATATGTCAGTTGAGAGGTTATTTGAGGACTGAAGTTGATTATCCCACATAATGTATCAGAGACTCAGCATCTATAATGTAGGGATAATAATGCTTGCCTCTATGAGTAACTGGAAGGATCAGAAGAAGAAAATGAAAAGGTATGTTAACTGAAGTTCTAATATAGATGTTGATTTATAATTTGGAAATTAGTGATTATTATGGCTCCAAATATATATATATATATATTTTAAAACAGCGTCTCACTCAGGTTGAAGTGCAGTGGCACAATTATAGCTCACTGCAGGCTCAAACTCGTGGACTCAAGCTATCCTCCCACCTCAGCCTCCCAAACAGCTAGGACTATAGCCACACACCACTATACCTGGCTTATTTTTTGTAGAGACAGGGTCTTGATATGTTGCCCACACTGGTCTCAAGCCCCTGGCCTCAAGCGATCTTCCCACCTCAGCCTCCAGAAGTGCTGGAATGACAGGTGTTAGTCATCATGCAAGGCTCAAAATTGTAAATTTTAGGTAAAGCCCAAGAAAAGAGGAGTGCACAATTACTTTGGCAGTTTTTGTTGTTGTTGTTGTTGTTTGAGACAGGGTCTCACTCTGTTTCCCAGGCTGGAGTACAGTGGTGCGATTATAGTTCACTAAGCCTTGACCACCTGGCTCAAGGGATCTTCCTTCCTCAACCTCCCAAGTAGCTAGGACTACAGGTGTGCACCACCGTGCCAGGCCAATTTGGCAACTTTTAAACAATCAAGAGAGCCATTGCAATGATAAGTCATTTTCTCCCTGAATCCTGATTTGATTGTAGGCTGCACTACATACAGCTCTGTCTCATCAGAACTATGTAGGTCTGGGAGAATTGGGTTTGGGGCTCTGGTTGTCACCTGACAGAGGCCAGATGGAGCTGCCACAATAGACACTAGAGGGCGCTACTGAGGCCCTTGCTGATCCTCAAAACAAGGGACTTGAGATGGACTAACTTCAATTCTGGGCTAGGAGGCATAAATGAGACATGATTGTTTGTAAGACATTTTTTAAATTGGAAAAGAAGTGACCTGGTGTCTACCCACTCTAACCTCCCGTAGAATCAACTGTCATTAACCTTAGCTCAATCTCAACTGATCCTGTTAGAGTGACTGTATTGTGGGGATGGCTATTTTTGTCAAAAAAACACCACTGAAGACATTTTTGCTGGTTCTGTTTTTGCAAAGATTCAAGCACATTCTGAAATTCTAAATATAAGACACTATGTTTTTTCAGTTTTATTTCAAGTCTTTAAAAGTATAAGGAAATATTTTTTCTAAAGTTTGGCTATGTGTGGATGCCTTAGGAGTTGATGCCGCCCTTTCTTTTTAAACTATAAGAACAGATACTATACTTGATCTTAGTAAAAAAACCATAAAGTAATGGTTGACTCCATCTTGGTAGAGATTCCTGGGTCTCAAATTTTAGATTTGAAGATGCCTTTGATTTAGTGTTACAGCGATACTGAGATTCTTGTTAATTACCTAATTATTATTTTAAGTAGCTTCTGAACATATGGATTGTCAAGAGAAAACCATATAGAGAAGTAGAGGTAAAAATAAAAACCAGGTATTCTTCCATTCCTGATCATGTTTTCTATTTAGAAAAACATAAAACTGTTCCTTCTATGTAAATATAATCTCTTGTGATATTTAGCACAAAATTATAATTTGCTTAAACTGCAAGAAGCATTTTTTTCTTAATGTGCTATCATTTGTTTATTTTAACATCTTTTTGTCATTCTTTGCTTTTCTGATTCTTGACTTCTTTATCCTATACATTTATCTTGGAAGAGGAAAATAGGACTTATGAAGGAATTGTAGGGAGAAACAATAAGTTATATCACATACTATAGTCCTACAAGTCCCATGTGAAGAAAAAAATGCAATGAAAACAAAATTTTCATGGCTTTGTATTTTCTTGCTAAAAGAGCAAAACAACCTGAACTGATACAGCTTAAATTTTTCAAGAATTGGATGTGTGGTTACTCCATATAGTATTTAGAGTACTTACTAATGCTAATGTAGTTATTTTTCTTACAGAAATCTCTCTCAATATTGAATATCAGCAATAATAACATTGACGACATTAGAGACTTAGAAATACTGGAGAATCTAAATCAGCTCATAGCAGTTGACAACCAGCTTCTGCATGTGACGGTAAAGAAAAATTAATTTAAAAATATTTATATGCCATTGTGATTGAAAACTACATATGTTTTGAAATAGCTATACAGTGTATCACTTTTAAAACTATTCTGGGCCGGGCTCGGTGGCTTAGCCTGTAATCCCAGCATTTTGGGAGGCCGAGGCAAGTAGATTGCCTGAGCTCCGGGTTTGAGACCAGCCCAGGTAACTTGGCAAGACCTCGTCTCTACAATAAAAATTAATTGGGCCTGGTAGCACCGCTTGTAATTCTGGCTACTTGGAAGCCTGAGGCGGAAGGATCTGCAAAGCCCAGCGGTTCAATGCTGGGATGGCCGTGAGTGTGCCACTGCACTCCAGCCTGGGCAACGCAGTGAGATTCCTACTCAAAAAAACAAAAAACAAACAAACAAAAAACTATTCTTTCTGACCGGGCACAGTGGCTCAATCCTGTAATCTCAACACTTTGGGAGGCCGAGGTGAAGGGATTGCCTGAGTCCACCGTTGGAGACCAGCCTGGGCAACTTGTCAGGACCTTGTCCCTACAATAAATCAAAAAATTAGCTGGGCATGGTAGCGCGCACCTGTAGTTCTAGCTACTTGGAAGGCTGAGGTGGAAGGATCGCCGGAGCCCAGCAGGTCGAGGCTGCGGTGGCCATGAGCGTGCCACTGTACTCCAGCCTGGGCGACAAAGTGAGACTCCATCTCAAAAAAAAAAAAATTCTGGGCTGGGTGTGGTGGCTAACATTTATAATCTCAGCACTTTGGGAGGCCAAGGTAGGAGAATTGCTTGAGGCTAAGAGTTTTAGACCAGCCTGGGCAACATAGTGAGACCTCATTTCTATAAAAAACCCTACAAAAATTAGCCAAGAATGGTGGTGTGTGCCTGTAGTAGCAGCTACTTAGAAGGCTGAGGTGGAAGGATCACCTGAACCCAGGAGGCCAAGGCTGTGGTGAGCTGTGATCATGCCACCGCACTCCAGCCTGGGCAACAGAGTGAGACTCTTCACTCATTTTCTTCTTTATATCCCTCCACCAACAGAATAAAAGTTTCTCTGAGAATGAAGTGTCTGCTCTCTGCATCATTCTTCCATCAATTTTTTCCTTTTAGAGACAGTTTCTTGCCACTTAACCCAAGTGAATGGGTTCTTCGTAACTGTGACCAGATCTAAACTCTCTCCTGTCTGCTCCTATTTGAAGAAGTACTTAAACTTTTTCTAATTGAACTTATTCTAATTTGTACCAGCTATATTCATGTCATATTATATCATGCCATATTCATTCAATTGTTCATTATTCAAATATGTATTGGGCGCCTATATATTTGTTAGACACTATATTAATTGGTATAGATACAGTCCCAATCTTTAAGAAATCTGTAATGAGACTACAATATTATTGTTTTCAAAAGTACTGTGGTAGCCCCTACTCAGCCTGGGGCTAAGGAAGGCTTCCTTGCTATGACCTCAAAGTTTCTGGTTTGGCAGTGGAATGGGCTGTGGTATATTTTCTTGACATACGGACTATAGGAAGAAGAATGAACTTCTTTTGCCCATAAATGGAGCTCTTGTTTTCAGAACTGCTTCCAGATAGCTATTTGTTGGCCCTAAAAATGTTACCTCGACTTTATTTCCAAATCTGGACCTATTACCTGGTTCATTCCATAACTGCTATAAGCAGTAGATAATTATGAAAATAAATAGAGTACAGCTCCGGCCACCGCACCGCTTGGCTCTCGTATTCCTTATTCTCGGTAGGCTCTGTGGGCTCTGCGCCGTGGCCATTAGTCATGTCAGATTCTGGAAGTTATGGTCAGTCTGGGGGTGAGCAGCAAAGTTATTCTTCTTATGGAAATCAAGGCAACCAAGGCTGTGGACAAGCACCACAAAACTATTCTGGCTATGGGCAAACAACAGATTCCTCATATGGACAGAACTACAGTGGTTACTCCAGTTATGGACAAAGCCAGTCAGGTTATTCACAGTCCTACGGTGCTTATGAGAATCAAAAGCAGAGCTCATATGGCCAGCAATCATATAATAACCAGGGACAACAAAACATGGAATCATCAGGAGCCCAAGGTGGAAGAGCACCTTCCTATGAACAGTCAGACTATGGTCAACAAGATTCATATGCCAACAGTCAGGCTATGATCGACATCAAGGCTCATATGACGAGCAGTCAAATTATGATCAGCAGCATGATTCCTATAATCAAAACCGGCAGTCCTATCATTCACAAAGGGAAAATTACAGCCACCATACACAAGATGACCGTCGTGATGTGAGTAGGTATGGAGAAGATATGGTGGGTCACAGGGAGGAGGTAGAGGGCGTGGGGGATATGACAAGGATGGAAGAGATCCTATGACAGGATCAAGTGGTGGTGACCACGATGGCTTCAAAAATTTTGGTGGTCACAGGGATTACGGACCCAGACCAGATGCTGACTCAGAATCCGATAATTCAGATAACAACACAATCTTTGTGCAAGGACTTGGGGAGGGTGTGTCTACAGATCAAGTGGGGAAGTTCTTTAAGCAAATAGGAATTATCCAGACAAACAAGAAGACCAGAAAACCAATGATAAATCTTTACACAGACAAGGACACTGGGAAGCCAAAAGGGGAGGCGACAGTGTCATTTGATGACCCTCCTTTAGCTAAGGCAGCCATTGACTGGTTTGATGGAAAAGAATTCCATGGCAACATCATTAAAATGTCCTTTGACACCAGAAGACCTGAATTTATGAGAGGAGGTGGAAGTGGAGGTGGGTGACGAGGCCGTGGAGCTTTTCAGGGCAGAGGTGGAGACCCCAAAAGTGGAGACTGGGTTTGTCCTAATCCGTCATGTGAAAATATGAACTTTGCTCGAAGGAATTCCTGCAATCAGTGCAATGAGCCTAGACCAGAGGACTCTCGTCCCTTAGGTGGAGATTTCCGAGGGAGAGGCTACGGTGGAGAGAGGGGCTACAGAGGTCGTGGGGGCAGAGGTGGAGACCGAGGTGGCTATGGTGGAGACAGAAGCAGCGGTGGTGGCTACAGTGGAGATAGAAGTGGGGGTGGCTATGGTGGAGACAGAAATGGGAGTGGCTATGCTGGGGATAGAGGTGTCGGTTATGGTGGGGACAGAGGTGGCGGCTATAGAGGGGATCGAGTTGGCTATGGTGGAGACCGAGGAGGAGGCTATGGTGGAGATTGAAATCGGGGAGGCTACGGTGGAGACCGAAGTGGAGGCTGTGGAGGAGATAGGAATGGTGGTGGCTCTGGAGGCAAAATGGGAGGAAGAAACGACTACAGAAATGATCAGCGCAACCGACCACACTGATAACTGTTTTGAATGTTCCTTTCTCTCTGACATGATCCATAGTGAAATTGCCAGCGTTTTGCCTGCTGCTTTCCTCGTGGCCTTTCTTGGGTAGTGAAATTAAGTGACATTTGGATTTTTATTTGGGTGGGAGGGCTGGGACAGTTTTTCTTTTAGAAATGTCCTTTGAAATTTTCCCTTTTAGTTTCCATCCTTTTCCTCCCCAACCCTCAAAGTTAAATGCGTTGTAAAATATTGCCAAAATGAGAAATATTTTGTAACACTGCAAAAGAAAAAAGAAAAGAAATATATGTATTCTAGTACAAATGAATTCCTCAAAATATCCAAATGCCATTGAATAATCAGGGTGGATATTTAAAAAGATCTTAAGGAAGCATGACTCAATTAGTTGTTTCAACTTACAACGTAAAAGATATAAGAAGCTCATGGAATAAATTCTGAATTCACATATATTTTAGGTTTTAGAGTGGTCTAGACTTATTCACCGGGTGTTTTGTATTCGTTAGCAGAATTATTTGATTTTTCTATGATGTTGCAGAATTTGTGACAATAATATGATTTTGTGATAGAATGGGCAGTTTTATACCATATATACAGTACATGTGATCCTATTCAAAGTGACAGAGCCTCGAGTATAGGCTGGGTAGAGGAGACTTAGGGTGTGCAATATCTCACATTCACCATCATGGGAAATGAGAACAGAGTAGTCAAATACAGAAGCTTGCCTTTTTTTTGGAGATAATGGTGGGAAATTCCAGTCTCCCAAATTGGCATCAATGTTAAGTGCAGGACAAATACTTTTCTTAAACATTTTTGTGAGTCCAGATTCTTTGCTTGGCAAGTAAACCTTTAGTAATGAATAATAAATATATGAATACATCTTGAAATAGCCTGATTAGTTGTTAATTATCATAATTACCAAAATTCATTTCCATTATTGTCATTACTCTTAAATTCTTATTTTATTATGCTTTTAACTCAGAACAGAGAAGGGGAGTTTGATAATAGGACAAAGCTGCTAGCCTCCAAATCATCCCAAAGGAAGTTTTCCTGCATGACATTGAAACAAAGTTGTTTTGCCTACAATAATTACTTTTAGGCCATGGTTAATAACACAGAACCAGAATAATTGTAGAACCAGAATAATTGTGCCACCAAAATAAATACCTTCATTACTGTTGATTATTCAATCTAATGAGCAACATATAAATAACCAAATCCTCTTTTTGTGTGTTTTTGGAGTCGGGGTCTCACTCTGTCACCAGACTGAAGTATAGTGGCAGGATCATGGCTCACTGCAGCCTTGAACTCCTGGGCTCAAGCAATCCTCACTCCTCAACCTCCTAAGTAGCTAGGACTACAGGCACATGCCCTGGCTATTTTTTTTTTTTTTTACTAGCAATGAGGTCTTGCTATGTTGCCAAGGCTGGTTTCAAATGCCTGGGCTCAAGTAATCCTCCTGCCTTGGCCTTCCAAAGTGCTGGGATTGCAGGCATGAGCCACTATGCCCGGCCTAAAAGGCGGAACTTGATGTCAGCTCCCCTGTGTAGCTTTTCCTGAACCGCTTTATCAAGTTAATTCATTAAAAAATATTTACGGTAATCCCTCCTTATCCATGGGGAATATGTTCTAAGACCCATGGTATATGGCTGAAACCATGGATAGTACCGAACCCTGTATGTATGGTTTTTGCCTGTACATCCCTATGGTAAAGTTTCATTTTAAAATTAGAAACAGTGAGAGATAAATGGCAATAACTAATAAAATAGGACAATTGTAACAATATGATAGCATCACTCTTGCACTATTGGACCATTATTAAGTAAAATAAGGGCTACATGAACACAAGTACTGCGATACTGTGACAGTCACTCTGATAACCCAGTAGCTACTAAGTGACAGATAGGTAGACAAATAGGTAAAGCATGCAAGTACTGGACAAAGCAATCACACATGTTATGGGCCAGGGCAAGCAAGCTGGTACAAGATTTCATCCTACTACTCAGAATGGTTCAAAATTTAAAACTTATGAATTGTTTTTTCTGGAATTTTCCATTTAGTATTTTTGGACCACAGCTGACCAAGCATAACTGAAACTGCAGAAAATGAAAGCACAGCTAACCGAACACAAATGTATTCTATTCCATGTGCCAGGCACTGTTACAGACCCTTGGAGAAACACATTCTAGGTACAGGGGACACCATGATAAATAAGAGACAGGATCTCTATCCTTAAGGAACTTACGTTACAGTGAGGTTACGGAGGAAATGGTAAAAAAAAATACATGAACAGAGAAGATTGTGAAAAGTGCTATGAAGGAATTAAATAAGGTGATGGAAGAGAAAAAGGGGCCAGTGGATATTTTGGATCAGGTTATCAAGAAAGCCCTCTGAAGAAGTGACATTTACATTGAGATATGAAGGATGAGAAAGAAGAAAGCTGTGCCATACGCTAAGTATATGCCAGACATAGGGAACAGCAGGTGCCAAGGCTCTTTTGGTTCCAAGGAGCCAAAAAGAGGCCAGTTCACTGTAGTATGGTTCCCAGTACCTAGCTCGGTTTCTGATACATTGTAGGTGCTCAATACATAACTGTTGAGCGAATGAAGAGGCAACAGTACAAGATTAAAAGGAAGGCACAGGAGCCAGACTATAAAGGTCCTTTTAGGATATGATCACAAATTTTGACTTTATTCTAAGTGCAAGAGAAAGTCACTGAAAGGATTATACAGATATTTTTAAAGCTCTTTACCTGCTATGTAAAGGATGAGTTTCAAGAATGACAACCAAGAGATCAATTGTAAGGCTACTGCAGACGTTAAGTAAAAGAATATGGTTGCTTGGCGATGAAGACGGGTGGAGCTGGGAAAGAGGGAGGTCTATTTTAAGGTAGAACTCATAAAAGTTATTGATGAATAGGATGTAGGAGTAAAGGAAGCAGAGGAATCAAGGATGAGTCCTAGGTTTTTATGTGAGGAACTGATGAGACAGTGCATCCTTTAAGAGCATAATAATTCCTTCTATTCAAATGTCTACTAGATATTGAAATGGACATGTCTGGGAGGCATCTAGAGTTTAAGGAAGAAGTAAGGTTGGAGAGTTTGAGAGTCAACAGCATTTTCCTGATGTTTAGAGCCGTAGGACTGGGCGAAAGACAGTAGAGATAGAGAATAAATGAGGCCAAGCACAGAAACACTCCAATATTTAGAGATTAGTTAGAAGAGAAGGCTCCAGGAGAAGACTGTGATTTAAGAGAAGAAAAAAAGAGCTTCAGGAAAGAGCAGGCTCAGTGGCTCAGCCTGTAATCCCGCGCCTTTGGGAGGCTGAGGTGAGTGGATTGCCTGAGCCCGCGGGTTCGAGACCCGCCTGGGCAGCAAGACCTCATCTCTACAATAAAAAAAAAAAAAAATCAGTCGGGCATGGTAGCATGTGCTTGTAATTCCGGCTACTCAGAAGGCTGAGGTGGAAGGATCGCCGGAGCCCAGCAGGTTGAGGCTGCGGGGACCAGGAGCGGGCACTCTGCACTCCAGTCTAGGTGACAGAGTGAGACTCCAACTCAAAAAAAAATAAAAATTAAAAAATAAAAAAAGGAAAGAGTGGCCACTTGAACTGAATGATGTTAAGGGGTTAACATGAGGGCAAATAAGAGGTTAACATAAATGTACTGGAATTGGCAGTCTGGGATTATTCCAAAGATCATGCTTTTTGTATATTTCAGAATAGAGTTCTTTAGTAGCTGTTTGCATTGTTTTTCTTCTAACCAAAGCTACATGAACCTGTTAGAAATTTCTTTCTATGTTACGGTTTGAGAAACTTCTATCAGGATTTCCATGAAATACTTTCCCTTTACCTAAAATGTCTATATATAAACTAAAGGACAAGAGAAGGGAAAATTGAAAGAATACCTGGATAGAATACCTTGAGAACAAAGTTACAAGGGACAAGTTTAATTTGTGAAGTTGAACCAGAGAGGCTATGGTAAAAAAAAAAAAAAAAGAAAAAAGAAAGAAAAAATAGCAGAGGGGAATGCTGGAAAAAGGGCAGATTTCATGAAGGACTGAACACTGAAATGTCAGAGATACAGTCCTTCCCTCCCTCTCATGCACACAACCAGGCCCTACTCCCAAAACTCTGCCTTCATGACTTTAAAACCTTGGACAAGGATGGGCATGGTGGCTCAGCCTGTAAGCCCAGCAAGAGACGAGGCGAGAGGATTGCTGGAGCCCGGGGGTTCAAGACCAACCTGGGCAACTTGGTGAGACCTCATCTCTACAATAAATCACAAAAACGAGCCGGGTGTGGTCCAGCTACTTGGAAGGCTGAGGCGGAAGGATCACTTAAGTCCAGCAGCTCGAGGCTGCGGTGACCGTGAATGTACCACTACACACCTACCTGGGCAACAAGAGTGAGACTCCAACTCAATAAATAAATAAATAAATAAATAAAATAAAACAAAACCTTGGACAAGAGTTGGAGTATTCCTCTTTAGGGAAATGACCAGTTTAAGAGTAAATATTATCCCCCGATTCTGACATGTAAGGGTTCCAGAGAGAAAATGCCTGCTGCTTGCCCAATTGCCCTATAGTGAGGTCAACCAATCAGTAGTCCTTGCCCTCACACAAAAAACTCTCATTCACATTCATGAATAAACAGGCAGCTCAGGATCAGTAGACCTCTGAAAAGAGCTCTAAAATCAGAGAGCCAAGGAAGAAGGGAGGGAGGAAGGGAGACAGGAGAGAGAGAGAGAGAGAGAGAGAGAGAGAGAGAAAGACAAATTCAGAGGAAACAAATACTGTGGAAACAGAAAAAAGAATTTTAACACCCTTATAATTAATTTCCTAAGAGAAATAGAAAAGAATTCCATAACCTTGAAATAAAAGCAATATTATGTTTTTTTATTTAAAGAAACATGTGAATAAGAAAGAGCACTTAGAAATTTAAAATAGAATAGGGGATATTAAGTATTCAATATAAAATTTAAATGATAAAATTGAAGAAGTCTTCCAGAAAGAACGAAGAGAAAAGAATGGAAAACAAGCAAGTAAAAAAGAAACTTAGAGAATTAATCCAGAAGATCCAATATATGACTAATAAGAATATCAGAATCAGAGAATAGGTGTCTTAGTCCATTTGTGCTACTATAACAAAATACCTGAGACTGGGTAATGTATCAGAACAGAAATTTATTTCTCACAGTTCTGAAGTCTAAAAAGTCTAAGATGAAGGCACCAGCAGCTTTGGTTTCTCACGAGGGCTGCTTTC